TGTACACTCGCAGTATCCAGTCACACGCCAGTGTACACCCCTGAGAAAACTGGTTCATGCTGTTGTTAGCGGTAGGCCAGTGAGGAATGGGGCGAGTTGAGTGGGACAGGAACATAACACATACCAAGCTGAGATTTGCAAAGGTCAGGCAGAGAGAGAGCAAACAAAGCAACGAAGAAATAGCAAAGTAGGTCTCAACTTTTGAATGCAGTCGACGTAGTTGACAAAGAACTTATGTTAACGAAATGTATTTGTGACAAGTTGTCTTGGAACTGTAACAAACTTGATCCTATTCGAACCTTGCTTGTTCTTTTGGATTTGTTGCTGTAGAAACATTGTGCAATAACTTTCCGTTGTGCTTAAGGGAGTGGTGGGTGGGAACCTTCTTTGGTTTGCGCTCGTGGTTTCTTGGCGCAGGAGGGTGAGCCATGGTGGATCTTGGTCATGTGGTCAACTTGGCGGAGTTATATAGATGGTGTCGTTGAGATCGATGGTGATCCTCCTGCTCCAGCACAAGCTCCTCAAAAAGAGCAAGAAAGAGATGTAAGCCAGGCGCACGATGAAGAGCCTGCAGGTGAGGGTCGCGCTAAGCATCGCAAATGAAGCCCATGGAGAAGCTGTCCAAGAAGAGCGCGAAGATCTGGCGACCTTTGCGCAAACACTATGAACAAGCAACCTTGGAGCAAAGTTTGAGCTCAATTGGAGCTGGCGTGACCAAACTACCCCGGGAACAATGCGTTTACAAAGAGATCTTCGGGAAAGCCAAGAGCATCGAGATGCCAGGGTTTGAACCATTGGTTGCCATGCCATGTGAATTCATGCGCAAGGCAGAGCCAGCAGACACATTGCAAGTGGACGTAGCTGGAATGACACGTGCTGACCCTATACAGAGGCACCAATGCACGCCAAGCACATGAAGGCGCTTTGCCGTAGAGATTTTGCTGAGGCCGAGGGTTTGAAGTGGACAAAGGCATTGGCAACCTGGCTCATAATCATGGAAGTCTGCAGCTTTGAGACCTCCGCCACAAAGTGTGTCATAGAAGAGCTTCAAGTGTGGCGCGTTGCTGTGCATTCGAGGTGCTTGCGGGACTAGTTCCCCATCGACAGTCCTCGAAAGAGGTCGAGATTTGATGCTGATGCTGTTTGTCAAATGGTCAGAGAAGAAGTTCATGCGCTGGTGGCCATTGAAAGAAGCTGCTACCTTTGACTGATTGAAAGAGAAGATGAGAACAAGAGCAAACTCATTGGAAAGAATTTGGTCCATTCTTTGAGGCCATACTTGGGCCTACGCTGAAAGGAAGAGTGAGTCGAGTGTTGGCTACACATGATCCAGCGGAGCAAGCGCGTCCTCTGACTGATGCTGAGGTGTTGAAGCTTGATAGAACTAGCTGGACAAGTATTTCATTGGGTGCGCTCTCTATGCTCTCTACTCCAGATGGAGTGACATGGACAACATCCACTAGTTTTACTTTGACGTCATTGAAACAGACGACGGCCGTTCGGGTTTGTCGAGGCGAGAACAAGGATCCACAAAACCTCGACTACCGCAGAGCGAAAGGCAATGCACATGCCTCATGTTGCACCCATTCATGGTGTCTTAGAAGGTCGCTGAGGCTTGAAGTGGATGAAGGTCCTGGCAGAGTTGGGGCTGCTTTACATGGGTAAGCCACATGGGTCATAGGTCTATTTGCAGGATTTGCTGGGCCCTCACATTGGACGGGGGACGCTTCACCAAAAGACCTTTGAGTTCGTCAGAGGGGTGTAAGTCAGGAGACTCAAGGCGACGACAACGTCTCATTCATTGAAGGCAACACTGTGTTATTGGTGTGGGCAGCTCGCTATGGACGTCGCTCTATATTATAGGGACCTGCTGAGCCAGCCAATGAGAGAACTATGTGGGATGATCCTCAACATCAGGCTTGGAGATTTCGTGCCCGATGGAACATGTTCGGGTTGGATGGCCAAGAAGCAAGTGGCGCTCTTCGAGCCAAGGTTTCCAGAGCGCGAAGACACAGATGTGATATAGGAAGTCCTTCAGTGGGCGATACCATTAGTGGTCTTAGTGTCTTGTTTTGTTGCCACGAGGGCCACGCAATGCGGGCAAGAACCTATGCGTGAACCGCACCTAGAGGGCTCAGCGTGCGATTCATGCGCCTTCATGATTTGACACCAAATTCACGTTTGGCATTTGGCGCATATATGCGTTTACAGCTTCTAGCTTTCAACCTCCACTGGGCGTAATGGTAATGGCGGCGGCGGCCACGAACTTCACGGAGAGTGAGGCAGCCTTCGACGGCCAACCTTGCGCTAGGACCAGAGTGGGCTCGAGGATTGAAGGCGGCTGTTGTCTCGACAACCAGGCTCAGTCCAGTCACGGAAGATGATGTGGGGACTTTGACGCAAAACACCGTGCCTTCAGGGCGTGCAATTCACAGTGGGAGATTTGGCGACAGTGCGTCGTCTGCTTTTGAAGCACAGACGCCTTGGCGCATCTTAACCGACCCAAACGCAGACCCCAGCTCGCGCAAAATAGGGCGCAGCGAAAGCGATTGTCATTGAGTGGCCTGGCGCTGGAAGGAGGCATGGAGGTGGCACATCAAGTCTACGATGTGGTTGAATGGGCGGGCACTGAAGTATCTATCCCCAAAGTGAATTAGCAGGATAGAGCAGGTCGCTGCGACCAAGCCACCCAAAGAGCTGAAGTTGGACATCGCGCGCAGATTATCGAGAGCGCCTATCATACCACAATGACAACGATCTGTGATGATGATGTTGGTCTCCAACGGGACCGGCGTGACGGTGAAGGATTCGGGCAGCAAGCGCTAACGCTCGACCACAACAGAGCTTGATCTCCTTGAAGCGAGACCAGAAGGAGTTTCGCAATTTGACGCAACAGGATTGGCCGACTGTCGACTTCCCAACCCTTCCGAAGTGGGTGAACTACATGTTCAGATTGATGAGGCAACCGCTGCTGCCCGGGCTTCAAAGCTCCAACGATCACACAGCTACTCCGAGCGGATTGTCAGGCCTTCGCGAGGACGCAAGAGCTGATGTCAAGCCGCGGGCAGACGGCGCTCGACCATTTCATGCATTGTTGAGTGATCTCGAAGGACCATAGTCATATAGTTGTGTACTACCACATGCCAACTGCGCAGGAGAAGGCGACACCCTAGCCACCAAAGACAACGCCGCCGAAGCAGCAGCGCGTGGACACAAGACAAGTCCAGTGGAAGTCATTTGGAGGAGCCAGAACAATCTCAGTGGAAGAAAAGCAGCGGCAAAGGCTGGACAGGAAAATTGCCCCATGCATCGAAGAATTGCGCATCAGCAAACCCAGAAGGCAAGCGGCTCTGTTTTTGCCTACAACATCGATGGCTGCGGCCCCTGGAGAGTCCTGCGACAAGGGGCTTCAATCGACGAAGGGTTAATTTGGCAACCACCCACCGCAGGCCATGTCAGTCCTAAGACGTGCAAGAATGGGGCACGGGACGGGCCCTAACATGCCAAAAGCGCGCCAGATCCTAGAGGATATTGAAGCTGTGGCATTGGTGAGCGCAACCTGTGAACTCAGTGGCGCTTCATTGGTGGCACCGGTCTCACCTTACAGACAGCAATGAAGGGGCGCCCTACACCCCAATCCACAGCAGGTGTCCACAGGCAATGCGTCACAAGTGTTCGTTCACAGGTCCAGTACAGACCTGATATTGCCATTTTGAAGAATTCACCCAAAGCAAGACTGGCTCCGATGCCGAAAAATGTTCGAGAACGCAGGGACCGCTATGACGCTGGCTGCGGGGCCAAGCAAAACAGGATAGAGTCAAGAAACGCAAACCACATCAGAATATGCGCTTTACTTGTCCTTCTTTTCTTCAGTTCTGATCCCATTGGGTTGCTTTGCACCACCCACATTTGATTGTATCCTACAGTGCGCTACCCTATTCCATTCGTTCGTTTGCCTCAGCTTTCCTCCGGCTCTGTGCTCGCAAGCCCCAACACACAGCTCATCACGAAACCTTCTACACTACACTCCATACCTCTGCGTTCTGTATCTTTCATCGCTTGACACTCTAGTCTATGTATCTTTTGTGCGTCTTCAGTCATTGCTCTCTTTTGGGTAATTGACGCTTGACCCCGCACGGGCCTGTCTACACTCCGTTGAAGGTTAGAGCCATGCCTGCTGCTCGTTCTACATATGCAAGTCGCGTTGCAATGTGTGACAACGGGATTTGTTAGTCTTTAGGTTACATGGTGCCTTCGTCGTGACATGCAACATTTAACGTCCAGGACTTGCAGCGAAACTTCTACCTTTCCGCCGAAGAAGCCGCCAAGTTTGTTGCCCAGCTACGCTAGGAAACAATGCGGATTCCTGTTTCGATATCGATCGCCCGTTGTAGTGTTGCTGCTCAAGAGCACACGCTGAGCATCTCGCTTGTTCCTCTTGCATTCTCACTTGCTTTGTTTGTTGCATTGTTGCGCCGAGGTATGGCCTGATAGACAAAGTGCTTGTGCCACAGTCTGACAAGGGCTCCAAGTTAGACCAGGTCGGGTGTCGCGAAGAATGTTGAATTGCGAAAAAAGTTTTAAGGAGTTTTTAGGATGAGAGATGTGGTTTTGCAGGGAACTCGGGATCCCTGGAGCGGCCAGGCAAGAATGTCTATCAAGTGCGTTTTTGCGTTCGGCTTTTCAACTTCAGATGGGCAGGTGGTCAAGCCGCAAGTCGGCTTTGGTGTATTTGCCGACCCAGACCAACCACGAACGGCAGTTTGAGAAGCGAAAAGGATCGAGCCTTCTAGTGGGAAAGGTTGTCCTTAGTCTACTTTTGCGCAATGATCGATGAAACGGGTGTCTAGTCCTTGGACAAGCCAATGACAGTGCTTTGCTGTGCATCGTGGCAGCTTTTCCAACTCAGTTTAGTCGCTTGAGGTTTTAGTTCTTTTTGGCCAACAAAGCCACACTATGTGACACATATACATTACATATTCATGCACATGTTAGCAAAACGCCCCTGCATGCCATAAAAGAAAAGAACCCACTCTTCAAAACCATAGGAGAGTCGCATTCTCAGAACTGAGACTGACTTTTTGGTCTTCGCCGGTGACTTGGCTGCACTTGTTCAACAAGGTAGATGGCGATCACGCGTCCTTTTTGGAGCGTGTGTGTGTGTGTAGCCCTCAAAAATCATTGGGAGCCTGTCGACATCTGTTTACTTTTCCAGGGGGCAATAGACACTTTGGAAGGCATCGCCCAACGAAAACATTTTCCAAGGTGTCGTCATAGGACTTGGGGCGCCAAAGTCGCGTACTTGCTGAGTATGACTTTAACTCTCAATTTGGCCCCGCGGTAGCTAGGACAAGTGACCGGCCATTCCGCAGTCGCGCATTGGCTTTGCGCTTGGAACTTTGAGCTTCGAGCTTCCTTTACTTTTTGACTTGGAGGATTTGATAGCTGAACCCTGACGCACGACGCATGGTACTTCGATTTACTTCGCTTAGGCAAGTTTTTACTTAGGAATCTTCAGGGCCGGTCGAACTTTATCCCGAGCGTGTCTCTCCATCCTTGAGAGCCCTCCGTGGCCCAGCCGAGCTGGGGGTGATCGTTGCGAGCAAGCAACAGTCCGTGCGGACAGCAGGAGCCCTCGATGGCGAACGTGAATGATAAGACTTGACGACTTGGTTTTGATTGGAGCAGGCCTCTGAGCCAGCAGGAGCCCGTAGCGGACAGAAGTGGCCAGCGTTTACCAAGGCAGCGCAGGCCGGAGCGTCCGCAGCTTTGAACACGACATCATGCGATCTCCGCGAGGGCCTCAAATTGATAGTCCGTGTTCACACAAACATACCAAACTAGGCACTGCCTCTTATACTGAGGTTTGGTCTTTTGTCTTGCGCCCTTCTGTTTGGTTTCCCTGTCATTCGCAACCACGTACCTTTCCCGCTTTGCTTTCACGCCCCTCCGTCTTCATGACGCTTCATCCTTTTCGTCTATTGCGCACAATCTGTTGGGACCTTAATGCGCACGCACATCTACCTACCAGGTTTCCGTAATGGGGCTTGGCTCATTTGTTTGTCCCTGGTCACTTGGTGTCCCCTCTATTGCGTTCGCCGGCATCGGGCGCCTTTGAGTCTTTTCATTTCTCGTTTGTGCGTGTGTCTGTGATTGAACGCCCCCAACCCGGGGAATCTCGTCCCTTTTCTTTTCTCTCTCCTTTCATTGCGTTGCCCAAATCGAGGCAGAAAAGACGAGGGAGAACCTGTCAGTTGACCACTCCGCCTTCCGCCTCCCTCCTCCTTCATTCTTCTGTTTTCCTTTCCTGTCGCCTTGGAATCATAGGGGGCCTGTGGGTTTTTGTTTTGCTTCTCGGAGGCAATGGACACTTTGGAAGGCATCGCCCAACGAAGACCTTTCCATCGTGATAGGACTTGGGGGCTGTGAACGTTGTTTTCCCTTTGACCTACTTGGAGGATTCGATAGTTGAACCCTGTAGATAGTGAAATTATGAAAACCCGCCGGCAGGCTAAGCTGAAGCTGTTCCTGCGAAGGAAGTGAGTAATAGGGGGTGTGGGGGAAGAGCGGGCCAATGTGGCGGCTTTCATCATACTTGTAGCCTGGTGGGGTTTATGTCTTTTTTGCAGAGGCTAACTTTGGGTAGTTGGCGGCGCAGAAGATGCAAGGTGAAGTTGCTGCTGCACCATTTGCACCACCAAGTTGTATGAGGCTACAATCGTCAACAACGCCAATATTGAGAAGGGAGTAACTTTCATTCCGCTTTCTCTTGCGTTCATTCTGCTTTCATTTGCGTTCACGTTGCTTTCATTTGTATTCATTCTGCTTTCCTTTGCTTTCATCTATCTGTCAGAGCCATGGGTTCTTGGCAGAGACCCCGTCGACTGGCTCCACAAGCACGCAACTCAACTACAGTAGTGGTTCTGTTGACGCTTGATTGTTGAATACGCTAAACAAACCCAAGCGTTTCCCTGTGACCTGATAGAGCCGTGGTTCAACAAGCGAGCAATTGAAGCAGCGGTTTTGCTGTCGCTTGATGTTTGGGTAGGCCATCAAAATCTCTCCAGACCATAGAGTCAATGAACTCCTGGAAAGTTCAGGAATTTTGGCGGTTGAGAATCAACAGCAAATCCTGTACATGTCATGTTGACCTTGTCAAGTTAGGCAAGTTTTCAGTCGGGAGTTTTCAGACCAAGTGGTATTCAGACCGTACATACGTTATCCCGAGCGTGCGCAAGCATAAACGAGGCTTGTCCATGCGCGCGCCACCTTCAGGATGGCAACGGTTGTCCAGTGGACGGTCGAAGACGTGGCCTCATGGTTGGAGCAATGTTTGCTATTGCCATATGGTGAAGAATTCTTGCAGGCAGCTGAATGTGTTCAACTGAATTTGGCATCAATGTTCGAACATGGTTGGTGTTGCTTGTGTTGCTTGTGTTTCCATTGGAGGCTGGTATAGATGGCGTGCAGCTGGTTCATTTGACGCGTCAGGGCCTGCTGGGCTTGGGCGTTGACAAGGAAGAGCACATCAAATGTTTGTCCCCGGCTTAAACCACTAGCCACTTCTTTGAGGAACATGATGAGAAACCATGACAAGGCCATCGCAGTGCATTTGCAGGTTGGATCATGTTTCGGTACTTCGAATCCAGCGCTGCGCTTACACTCTCCAGTCATGTGCAATATGTCAGGGCCCGTGTTGTGTTGCCACAAATTTCAACTTGTTGGTTGCCATATCGGTGAGGTGGGAAAGAAGTCTGCGCGCTGCCTGTCAGGTTTGTGGAGAGTTGAATGTTTGATCAAGTTTGCGTTGGAATGGAAACTGAAACTTGCTCTCGAGGGCCAACCGACAGACATGCCATCGGGCTTCGATGCTTCATGGAGGTTTGGTTGTTTTAGCTGGACACAAAAGCCACAAAATCGCAACCTTTGATTCGATCAAAAGCCACATCCAGGAGCGAGTCAGCTGATGGACAGTGTACAAGAACAAAGCATCGTGCAAGTTTTGGCCTCACCTTCACATCGCATACTTCGTTGGGAGGGTTCTTCCGCCAGAAACTGCACTTTTGGAAGAAAGAATATCAAAGAAGCGCTAGAAAATTAGAAAGGCCGGCGGCCAGCCACATCTTTGGTTTCGACTTTTTGTGAGGAATGGTTTGGCCACGTGTGGGGTCTCCAATTCTGCGTGCGACCTTCCGAGGTTCAAGGCGTTCGGTGTTTTTTGCAGACCTTCTGTTTTCAGTCATTACTTGAAAGGCAAAATGATGAAGAATGTCAAAAGGAGTTGCACGACGCCGCCTGCAAGGCCATGAAATCTGAAGCGTCCTGCTAGGATAGGCCTGAAGCATCCTGAAGCATCCTCAAGCTATCAGGTGCGCGAGCCCTGCCGCCAGCCAGAAGTGGGAAAGGACGAAGCACAGGACTGTCAACAAGGTCCGGTCTCTCGCGACGTGTCCAAGCATCATTTGTGTATGTTGTTTTGCACGCGTTACATTTATAAACGCATAAGCAATCAGCGAAAGGCCTTTGAGGTTTTGATACCCTTATCTTGTTGCCCATTTGTGCCAGTGTCCATCAAAGGCTTTTGATACTGATCCATAATGATCACTTCCACCAGTTTTGCGCGTTACCCATTTGCAAGTGTGGGCACATACCTCCATGACTTGCGTTTTCGTGTTTAAAGACGATAAGCGCTTTTACTTTCCGCAGATTCTCGGCTTCAGCTGATGTTGTGCCTGATTTCACAGCGGCTTCTCCTGTTGGCCTACAACGAGAAGCTGGGAGCTGATTTCTCACGTGTTTGTGTGAGGAAATTCCGGGAGGTCTACTTGGAGCTCTTGGACCAGGCCGAAGGACATTCTGCAGGAGGTGTTGGGGCTGCCACTTACTCAACACCAGCGTTCAAGAGGGAGAAAACCTCAGAGGGACCTGCCACTCCCGCTAAGGTAAAAGAAAAGACAGAGCAGTCATCGGAGGAGAAAGAACAGAGCGAGGAAGAAGGAGCCACTTCAGCACCCAGTGGACGAAAAGAGGGAGATTCGAAAGCATGTCCCCACAACAAGCCTCCCGGTTGAGAAGAAGAAGCGTTCCAGATCCCGTCGCCGCCGTCGCAGGTCAGAGGAGAAGAAATCATCGAGGAAAGACAGGAGCGTGAGCCGTGGGAGATCCCGTCGCTCCCGTAGTCACGTCGAAAAGAAAGGAAGCCCAAAGCAACCTCGGTCACCTGAGCCAGTTCTTGAACGAGAGCTTTCAGCGAAGTTGCTTCATCAGATCAATCTCGTACACCGCCTCCCAAGTCCCCGCCAAGACCATCGCGCTTCGGTCCAGCTGCCCGTCGAGCGGCGCCTCCTCCCTATTGGACAGCCTCCCGCGTAGACTCAGGGGGGAGAGAAAGGAGAGAGACAAGGAGTTGCCAACCACCAGGCGTTCCCAAACCAAGGGGTACCGGTATTGGCCTGTTCGGAACAGTGGTCATCAGCAGACGGAGTCCAAAGGAAGGACCAAACGCGAGAAGAATCTCAACTACAGGCTTTGGAACGAGTACGACCAGGAGCACGGTAGAAGGTGATGGCGCCAAAGGTTCTCAGGAGACCAGGGGGGGGAATAGCCGTCCCCGCCCGGCATCCACGAGGAGGAGAAGAGGTGTTGAGGAGGCCGGCGTCGAGATTGGAAGAGACAGTGGAAGACGAGCCTGGAGGGATGTGGAGGTCCATCCGGGAGCTCAGCCTGGAGGAGATTGGGAGACTTGACAAGCTGATCATCGAAGGCAAGTATTGGGAAGCCCCATGTATGGTTGCCGGAGTGGTGACTTCCGAGGAGGCGATCGCAGGTTGAGGGTCTGGGTGACAGGCACTCAGTGAGACGGAGAGCGTCCTCAAGGCAGTTGGAGGACGTTGCAAAGAGATGGAGGTTCACCTGTGTGGACGGCCATGCGAGAGTCAGGTATGGAACAACAACCTGATTCATGGCGAGCGCCTGACGGTCCAAAGCAGAGGCTGCAGAATGCTGGTGGACAAACCTCGAAGATGCTCGAGGTCGAGGTCTCGACAAAGAGGACGAGCACGAAGCAGGAGATCAGTTGGCCAAGTTGAGAAAAGAGATGAAGAAGGCGGTGGAAGATTTCAACATGGACGACTACTCCCCCGAAGGACACGCTGCTCCCGTGACCGAGGGAGACAAGGAGAAGGTGAAGGCAAAGAAGAAGGTAAAGAAGAAGGAGAAGGAAAAGGTGAAGCCGTGCTTGGAGGTGCCACTGAAGGACATCTTCGCTCGCACGGGTGTAGACCCCGATCCAGGAGTGAGAAGGGCTTTGATGAGGAAGGCTCGAAAGATCAGGCGTGGAAAGAAGAAAAAGAAGGGGAGTCGATCACGCAGCCGAGAGAAGGAAGATCAAGCCAGCGACAGCTCGACCACCACCTCGAGTTTGGGCGAAGAAGTCATCGGCTCGAGCGAATTATTCGAGGCCGAACGGCGAGCCCTTCAAATTTGGAAGAGAATTCCAGGAGCTTTGACATGTGGGGCGCTACAGGATATGAGGCAGAGTTTGATGACGGCCGAAGGCTTCCTGACCGCAGGCAGCGAAGGGAGCATAGCGCCGGTGGCCAGTCAGTACTACAGGCAGCACCTATACAAAGCCAGGTTGGACCCGTCATGGGTCGAGAAATGCAACATTGGTGCCTCGTGGTCGACCTCATGTTGCGCGGTCGTCCAGCCGCCGCGCTGGACGTGGACTCCCAGAGGATAAAGTCTTTGGAGCAGATTGCGAAAGGAGTTCAATCAGACATAGCCCGAAGACTGGAACTAGTGGGGCCAGAGAAGGTGTCCCTAGTGACGACCCACGAAGCTTCAGAAGCAGGCAAAGAAGTTTTGCAAGAGGAGCGCATCCAGTATCGAAACTCCCGTGGCCGCACGTGGGAGTGGCAGAGCGACAGAGACTGGCCCAGAGGTGGCAAAGGAAAAGACAAGGACAAGGGAAAGAGAGACAAAGGAAAGGCAGACGGCAAGGGCAAAAGCGACAGGGACAAAGGAAAAGGAAAATGGAAACGCGAGGAGGAGAAGGACAAGTAGAGGGTGCCATAGAGAAGGCTTTTGAGGACTGTAGAGGCCGACCTGTGCAGGAAGAGAGGTTGCAGCAAAGTACAGAAAGAGGATGTGTCGAAGTACACTCGCATTGAAGCTGCTAGGAGCTCTGCCCGAGTGGCTGAAGATTCAGGGGTTCCTGAGCCTCAAACTACGGAAGGTGGGAGACAGGCCGTCCTGGGCTCTCCCGATCATGGACGTGAGTCAGAGGCCGTTAGCAGCAAAGTTTCACCAAGCACTATGGCCCAGGCTATGAAAGCGGCACGGGTACTTCTTGAAGAACTCGATGAAGTGCGCACGCAGACCACGGCAATGGAGGATGTTGTTTTACCAAATGAGTGTATTTTTCCCCTACCATTGCCCCCTTGCCGCAATGGAGAGCCTGGTGAAGCGTGTGGGCACATGATCTTTGGCCTCATTTGGCCATTGGTCGCGGGCATGGACCTATGCCCTCCCGTTACCCTGAGGGATTGACGGAAAATCTGAGCCAGCTGCGCGAGAGGTTTGACATTTCGATCTCAGCAGAGGCCTGGTGGAGCGCGGCGTCTGCGAAGTCTAGCCCGTGGAGAACTTGTACCACATCGGCCAGGAGCCCTTGCTGAATGGGTTGTTTGCGGTTGGCAAGGGCGAATTTGTCGGACCCCTCGAAACCCAAAGACTCATCATGAATCTAGTACCTTTCAACCGGGTATGTGAACCCCTGGTGGGAGAAGTGAGCACTCTCCCGTCGATCTCATCATTTCATAGCTTTCTATTGGATGAAGGGGAAGTGGCAGTGATGAGTGCTGAAGATATTAGATGTTTCTTTTATCTGTTCCAGGTGCCGGTTGAATGGAGAAGGTTTTTAGGGTTCAACAAGGACGTGGAGGACGGTCTGATCCCGCCGCAGTGGAAGGGAAAACGTTGTGTACTTGTCTCCAAAGTCCTCCCCATGCGCTTTGTGAATAGTGTATCTATTGCGCAACACATCCACAGGAACGTGGTGAAATGGAGCCAACAGTCAGCTGCGCATGGTCTCGGTGGTGAAACTGAAATGCGGCGTGACCGGGTAGGCTCTTCGTCGTCGTCTCTGTTTCGCGTCTATTTGGACAACTTTGACTTGTTGGAACGTCATAGCCAGGCTGAACTAATCAAAGGTACGGTTGCGGAGGTGGTGCAATCATTGAGGGATGAGTATTCTCGCGTCTAGGCCTACCTCGCCATCCCAAGAAGTCTACTGAGCGTGCCCTCAGGGCAGAGATACAGGGTGCCATTGTGGACGGGGTCTTGGGCTTTGCAATGCCTCGCCCGAAAAAGGTTCTTCTGTATGTCTCCTTGGGATTGTCGCTTGTCCAGCGGAAGCGGTGTACCCTCAAGGAGTTGCAGGTGGTCTGTGGCGGCTTTGTGTATTTCTGCATGTTCCGTCGTCTCTTGTTGCGTGCGCTCAATGAGGTTTGGAGGTTCATGGAAAGACTGAAATGCCTGCCACCGGTGGTTCGGATGCCACTCCCAAAGCAAGTCACGAAGGAGCTGTTGAGGTTTATTTTGCAGTGTCCGTTGGCGCAAATGAGCCTTAAGATACCTCTTGCAGACCATGTCACGTGTAGTGACGCCTCCACCACGGGGGGTGGCTTCTGTGTGAGCGAAGGGCTCACGGGCTATGGGATGGCAGCTTTGGACGCCGAAGTGAGAGGAGACATCTGAGAGGAGATCTTGACAACCCAGGTCTTAACTGTGGGGCTTTTCGATGGCCTAGGTGCACTCCGTCTAGCAGTTGATGCCTTGGGCGTGCCTGTAGCCGGGCATTTGAGTGTAGAGAAAGAAGCGTAGTGGAGTCCTACTTTCCTGATGCTGTGTTCCATGATGACGTTCAGACCGTGGACGAGGTTTTGGCGCATTCTCTCAGCCTTCGTTACCCCTCTGTTGGCTTGGTGCTGATCGACCTCCATGTCAGGGCGTAAGTGGTCTCAATGCTAGCAAGAAGGGGGCTTTGTTGGACGCCCGTAGCAGCTTGTTCCAGGAGGTGCCGCGCATTCGGACCCTGTTGGAGAAGCACTTCCCATGGGCGCGGACGCATCTACTGATGGAATCAGTAGCTTCAATGGAGCCGCGCTGTAGGACTCCAGCCCTATTTCATTGACTCTGCGGGCGTTACACTATGTCATAGGCCGAGGCTTTACTGTGTGTCGTGGGAGTTAACCTCGCAGGAGGGAGCCGTGGTGACCACTCCCGGTGGAATTGCATGCAAGCGTGCACGTCGATTCGCTGTTGGAAAATGGATGGTATTTGGCGGAGGGTTGCAAATTCCCTACATTCACCACTTCTCGACCACGAACTTCTCCGGGACGTCGCCCAGCTGGTTTGGACAGGTGTGAGG